TACTGAGCATGTTCAGGAGAGTGAGTAACAGTGGGACAGCGACTAGAGTCAGAGAGAGAGAATCCCCAAACTTTAGTTAGCTCGTCCACTTTCGGCTGCTGCCTTACTTGCCGCCTCCTCCTCCTCTTGCTGGTGATTCCGCCAGCTTTTAGCCAAATTGCGTTGAGGAACAACTTTTTCTCTCAAAGCTGCAGTCGGCCTAGATTGTCAAACTGGTGGCTCCAGGTTCTGACAACAGTGTGACATTAGGTATTCGAATACGAGAAAACAACTTGTCTCCCGTTCATTCAATCGCCACCGCCTAAGCAGACGGAGAGATGCGATCTTTCAGAACCGCATCGCTATGTCTGCAAACTTCAACGTGCAGATCAATGGGCTGTGCATCGTGGCAGTGATTCAGCCGGTACTTCCTCAGCATCTGTTACGAGTCCTTGATCACCATGCTTGATGTGCACAAAGTCTATTTGTGTTTTGGCATCCACGTGATAGAACGTAAAGAGAAAGGAGTCATGTTCAAGAAATTTTGTGTTCAGAGTGACGAGATTGTGCGTGTCTGCATAATGAATGACTCGCTTACCATCGTCGTTCCGTGAACCGCAACCCAACCCCCACGAAAAGCGTAGCCGTCTTTCGCAGCGCAACATGTCTGTCCAGGTTGCCAGCAACAATAATAGTGTCTTCTCGTGGCACTTTCACCGTCTTCTCATCAAGCTGGGTCCAGGACTGGTCCTTGGAATACTAAGAACGTCCAGCTTGAGAGTCACAAACAAAGAAGAAGCGCTACGACCGTAGCTCAATAGCGCCAAAAATGTTCATTAAACGATCGTCGCAACGAACTACGCCAACAACCAGTTACGAAACCGCTGAGGCACGATTACGGCCACACCGTAGTTTTCGGCCCGCAACAGAAAGCGGCTTCAAAGCCGCGGCCTATTTTTCTCGCATCACGTTGGGAGCGGACTCCACTTTCCGCGGCCGATTTTTCTCGCATCACGTGGGGGAGCGGACTTCACTTTGCATTTAATTTAGTTGTTTTCTTTGATTTAGTAAATTACTGAGTAGGACATCAAAACACAACGGAAAAGACAGGAAACGAGAGAAACCCCGGAATACGAGTGTCATTGCATTAACTCTGTTTAAGTATTATTCAACGATTACTCGGAAGTGTGGATAGGTAATCATGGGAGGAACGCGAGGCATCTCGACCTGGTACAAGAAAAGCTGCCTAAGTTCGGAGGTCTGTTCTAATGTATTATCCTCAGTGTTGGTAAACGTTTTATACTGCCTATTAGCTGAGTTTCCTAAAGGTCATGAACTGGCTGCCTTTGCATCCTATAACAACTTATGGCGTATAGACATCAGGAGAAACTCGTTCTCTTCCTTCTATACACCTTTGAACGGGTCTTTCTTGGAAGTACATGCCTCCATATTTCTGTGGTGTAGCTAAATAGCAATTTTGTGCGAACAACCAACGCTTTTACCAAGTTAATTTTTACCAAGTTATTCAGTAGAAAGCGAATTCAAAATGACAGTCACTGCTAACGTTTCCACTCCTTCCTTAACCAGGAGCCGCAAGATAGATTCATCTTTTGCGGATAAAGCAACTCGTTTCTTACCTGCTCTTTTCTTTTGCTATGGACTAATTCACTGAACACCTACTTTTTGCCTGGGACCTGAGTGAACCGTCCATATCGGCTATGATTCGACTTCTATCTGAAAGGAACGAAACCTGTTGATTTACTGCGCTCCGCCCTTCGATATTTGGGATAAGTGGTCTTAGTTTGTTTTGAGGAGGTGTGAAAAAGCAAACAGGGGAGGGTTAGTTTTTTGACTCGTCTTGATCGTTTTAACTCGCACACAATACCACACATACATCATTAGCACTGCACAGCAAACAACAACAACACCAATACACAAACCCAACTACACTACAACACACACCACCAACACACACACCACACACGCACACACGCGTTAAGAGCAAAATATACCATTTAACTGTGATTTCACCACTTTCCAAACCGAATTCACCTTCATTCAGACCGAGTTCACCACACATTTTAGATGCCAGTGATTTAGTTAAACCGAGCTATCGAAAGATTAACCCCCCCTCAGCCCCGCCTCTCGACACGCCTACTTGTCTGGCGCGGCTTATCAATTATCTCAAATCGCCACTGTATTTCTGTTCTACGATTTTTTTCCTTTTGATGTGTCTTACATACACATTGACTGGCAAGGAGTGGACGACACATGGCCGAGTCCGACGATTCTTCAAAGAACTCGTCTCAAACTTAGGATTTCTAAGCTTCTTCAACTTTCTCTATCCACACCCACTCTTCACAGAACGGAGTCACTCAAGTTCGTTTCTCTTATGGCAGCCGACACATTGAATTCCTGCCCTTCCCCGCTCTCACTTTGCATCCTTTCGGATTTTGATATTTCTCAAACATTTTTGCATTTTTGGACTTCTACAGAAAAAATAAGCGTGCCTAGTGGGACGTTTGTCAAGAAGCCCCCGCCCACGTTGATGAAGCCCCGCCCACGTTGTAGAAGCCACTCCCACTTTTGAAAAATGGTGCGGATAAGTAGTTCAGACTGCCGCCAATTTATTAGTAGCTGCCCGCTTGTATTGGCTCTCAATATTCATTCAATCAAATACAGATCACATATCTGTTTTAATTCCACTTATCCCTTTCAGATACCGAAATGGACATTACAACGGCTCCAATCAAGTTACGCCTTGCTAAGGGGGGACTGGATGGCATCAAGGTGGGGACCGCTATATACGGAGACAAAAGGGAAATTCTTGGGCATCTGTGTTCTCGAGAAGCCAACGTTTACCTTGAAAGTGAGTTAAAACGTGTAGTGTTTGTTTCAAATTGGGGACTCTATTCCAAATTGAACACTTTCAACGAATAGGACATCTTACAAACCAGATCGGGCACTTTTCAAATGAGCTCGGACATAGGCAGACATAAATCATTCACAACTGTTTGTTCAGCCTTGTTTTTTCACATCCACCCTCACAAAAAGATTGAACTCATAAGCAGGCATTCTATACTGGCACCACTGAGCTGGTTCCCTTTACCCACCCATACTCTTGCACAAAGTTGACCGTTTCTTCAGAACTCCCCCTTTTGAGGCCGAAATATTCCGCTCAGTCACAGAGGCCTCTCCCCCTCAGACAATATACGTATCATGCTAACTGTGGCAGGTAGGGCTTCGCTCGTCACTTCGAATAAGCACGACCTGGTTTTTTATTCCGAGCGCAACTCAAACTTGCCAGCTGACACTCTATTCTGTCATTTCAATCACTTTCCGATTCGGGACTTTCCTTTCCGTGTAGTGAATCTCACAGCAGGTGGAACTACCTGTTTCGGCTCAAATGTCAAATCCTAAAAAAAACATCAAATTTATACAAAAAAACGTAAAGGTAGGCGTGGTGAACGGAACCGAGCTCAGTGTGCTATAAGTACGTCTCATGAAACCTCATTTTGTGGAGAACCACACTATCCTTTAAATGCCATATTTTCAACTTCTGTATGGGGTAAAAACTATAGAAGTTGGAAATAACTCCAAAATAGAAATCCAAAATATGTGTAATTCAAACCTTGCCTTTCTCGACCGGAATCGGCTCATCACGTTTAACGTAAGCGTTTTAAGCTTAAAGATACGCCCGCTACCAATCAAGATTCAGGAAACCTTCATGCTGATTCAGCCTATTTCCTTGCGACGTGGTCGCCAATGTCGACGAAACGACGATTTCGGCGACTGGGCCAACCATTTACATTTTGTAAATGCTTCTTCCTCCATAACCCTTTTCACATCACTTATTTATTTCATTTTCTTTTTCTGAACAATTTCCCTATTTCCTTCAATCATCTCAAGTAACCTTCCATACATTCTATCATCTTCACAGTTTTCAAGAAAATAATGACGACTGACACGTGGCTTACGTGGAATTGATGTGCTTCTGCCAACTTCAGACACCAGCGGCCCGACTTCGCCGTGACGGCCTGGATTCGCCAGGCGCTCATCTTTTGAGCGACTAAGAATGCGAAAAATGTGCGAATAATCATAGACCCATTCTGAACGGAAATGCAGAAAAAGGTTGCAAACGGTTTTGAAATGCAGAAAAAAGGTTACAAACGGTTTTATGTCCCTCATCAGTTGCACACATTAAATCCCTCACGAGAATTCCTGCTTTCGAGCGATCTTCT